CATGTGTAGTTCGGCTGGAGAAATGGGCGAGTTGTGACAGGAGCCGAGTAGTTAAAGTGGCATCCCCTAATTTTGGTAAAATTACAAATTCAGGTATTTGACCAATTGCTTTTATCTATGGTGCCTAAGTACAGAAACACAAACACATCCATTTCCAACAAACAGCAGTTTCAGAGTTCTCATCAGGATAGAATCATAGCATCGTAGAATGTTTGGGTTGGAAAGGACCTTAAAATCATCCAGTTCCCCCCCCTGCCATGGGCAGGGACACCTGACCCTAGACCATGTTGCCCAAGCCCCGGTCAACCTGGCGTTGAACACTGCCAGGGATGGAGCATTTATCACTTCTTTGGGCACCCTGTGCCAGTGCCTCAGCACCCTCACAGTAAAGAACTTCTTCCTTGTATCTAACCTGAACTTCCACTGTTTCAGTCTGAACCCATCACCCCTTGTCCTATCACTACAGTCCCTAATGAAGTCCCTCTCCAGAATCCTTCTAGTCCCCTTCAGATACTGGAAGCTGCTCTGAGGTCTCCACGCAGCTTCTCCATTTCCAACATACAGCAGTTTCAGGTGCTTCATCAGGATGTATTTCAAAATGACAGACATTTTGTTCAGTGTCAGGACAAGTGTCTTAGGCCTTAGTGGTGTTATTCTCACAAAGAAATCCCTGTTGTTCCCATACAACACATGCATCAACATCAAGAGTTTGCCATTTGTCCCTATTCCATTGGGCCTGTGCTCTCTGCTTCTAGTGGCTAGAGGACAGTTCCGTGCTGATTTAATCCTAATGCAGTGACTGGAGATACGGTGAACACTGAAGCACTGTGTGTTGTTCAGACCAAAGCTATGGCCTTGTTGATGGAGTTGTAGGTGAAATTCATTAGACGCCACCAAGGTTGGAAATCCTTCATTCAAATTTAGTTGTGGATGGAAAATCAGCTCGATTAAGCTACAAAAGGATGAGGGTAATTTTCATAATAGCTTCAACTCATCAAATTTATAGGGACATTATTAACACCAAATGCAAAAGGAACCAGTGGCTGGAGATGAGAGAGGTCTGCAGCATTATTGCGCTGTTTAATTCAGTGCAGGTTTTTTTTTTAATCAGAAAAGAGCATTTCGGGTGAATCCTGACCTACCCTTTCTATTTTGGAGTGTATGCTACCATACGCTGCAGTCACAAGGAAAAGCTTTCTGCCATGTTGCAGTTGGTAAATCTTTAATAGCATTGTGCCTAGTAAAGAAAAACCTGTCAGACTCGGTCTGTGCTTCATGACCTGGTGACAGGGGAAGTCAGATGCCTGGTGCTGGAGCACCACACACAGCACCTGAATAAGTAACTGGCAGGATGTATCTTCACAGCACAACTTACACGTAGTCCTTTCTTTTCAGTAGCAAAATATATAGACATAGAATCCCAGACTGGTTTGGGTTGGAAGGGACCTTAAAGCTCCTCCAGCTCCAACCCCTGCCACGGGCAGGGACCCCTTCCACTGGAGCAGCTTGCTCCAAGCCCCTGTGTCCAACCTGGCCTTGAGCACTGCCAGGGATGGGGCAGCCACAGCTTCTCTGGGCACCCTGTGCCAGCGCCTCAGCACCCTCACAGGGAAGAGCTTCTGCCTAAGAGCTCATCTCAGTCTCCCCTCTGGCAGGTTAAAGCCATTCCCCTTGGCCTGTCCCTACATCCCTTGTCCCAAGCCCCTCTCCAGGTTTCCTGCAGCCCCTTCAGGCACTGGAGCTGCTCTCAGGTCTCCCCTTCAGGAGCCTTCTCTTCTCCAGGCTGCCCCAGCCCAGCTCTCTCAGCCTGGCTCCAGAGCAGAGCTGCTCCAGCCCTCGCAGCATCTCCACGGCCTCCTCTGGCCTCTCTCCAACAGCTCCACGTCCCTCTGGTGCCGGGGACACCAGGCCTGCACACAGTGCTGCAGGTGGGGTCTCCCATGAGCAGAGGGGCAGAATCCCCTCCTTCAGCTGGTCTCCCGGGTGGGGATTTTAAGCTTCTCTTCCCGCCCAGCTTGGAGCTGCCCTGGGGGTTTCACAGCGCCCGGCCCTGCAGCCCCTGTGTGCAGGACGCTCGGTGCCATCCCGCTGCTGTCCCACAGCGGCTGCAGCTCTGGCCCCGGCCTGCAGTGCTGCTGCTCCCTGTGCCTGCTGCTCCCGCTCCCGTCAGCAGAGAGGAGGACAGCCAGGAGGGGTTTCCTTCTGCCTGCTCTGAGCAAATTCACTTCCGGTTCTCCCAAAAGCAGAGGCTGAACCCAAACGAGCCGGCCCTGACCCACGGCATCCGTGCGCCGCTCCCTCCCCTCCGTGCAGGGAAACGAAACCCCCGCTGCGAGTGGGTTCGCAGGTGTGACTGTGCCCGGGCACACGCCGAAATCCTGGGAAGGGGGTGTTCCCTGGCTGCCCACGGAGGGGGCCCCGCTCCTGTCCCTCCTGTGCCCTGGGGTGACCTCTCCCCTGCTCTGCGTGTTTCACTGTTAACAAAGAGTTGCTGGAAGGATCCCAGGCACGATGTGGATTCCAGGTGTTCAGGGAAGGAGAAGAGGCAAGGAAGCTGCTCCCTTCATCCTACTAATTCCAGCTTGGAAAGACAGCGCGTCCTTGAAGCTCACAGGTGTCCGAACTGAAGGGCTGTTCCCGAGCAGAGCTGGTGCTTCCTGCCGCTTTCTGCACCCAGCCGGGCTGGCGGGAGGGCTGGTGCATGGGGTGCTGCTCAGGGGACACAAGGGAGGCACAAGGCAGACAGGCTGCCTTGCTGCAGCAGCTCCACTCGCGCTTCTTCCTGCGCACCAGGAGAGGGAGATCCAGAATACATCACTGCTTTCAAATGGAAAACTGGACTCGTTGGGCACAGATGAGCACCGGGCAGTCGAGAGGCTGTGCTGGATGCATCTCGATGTGGTACAGACCCCCATGGGCACTGTCACATGCTGGTGGTAGCTTTGGCTCCCTACCTCACACCTTACAGAAACCAGCTGTGTGCTGGTGGATTGAGGGCCCTGCTTTTTTCCATTGCTGCAAGCATGGGGCTGGACCTGCTTCTGCCACTGTCACCTGGAAGGTTTCTAAGGTCAGGAGCCTTTTAACCCACCCTTAAATGACACACCGTCATACTGCTTTGCCTTAGTTTTGTGTGGTTTATGGTTAAGCAGCAAGGTGCAGTTAGAGCCTCTGGAGGTGAGTAGAGGCTCATCCTTCACGCTGAGATCCCACATCTTGGAGCTGGCTCAGAATCACCCTCATTCATCACTGCTGCTTTTCATGGCTCTGGAAGAAATTCATCCTGCCAGGAGCTGGGAAGAAAGTTTACAGCAGGTAGGAACCAATTCAAAGCAGAAAATTATTAATAGTAATGATAGTGATAATGATGATGATATGATAAAGATAATAATAATAGTAGTAGTAGTAATTTAGATAGCAGTTTTCTATGGAAGAGTTGTAAATGCATCTTTCAGGGTATTCCCAGGCAGGTGAAGCTTGTCTGAACTAGCACTGAGTCGTTGAGAAAACAAGTAGGAAGGAAACTCCTCATTCAGAGCTGGATTAAATTCAGCCCTGGATGAGTATAGACTGGTCCTGCCTCTGGAAGCATGAACAAGACGACTCATTCTTCCATCACACCCTGTCTCCGCAAGTGAAGGGAACACACACATTAAACAAAATACTAAGTGACATCAGGTTTGAAGATGTTGGCATCTCTGTTTGAGAGCTGTGGCCCTTTCAAACTCTCGTGATGACACCAACCAGTATGACTGTGGGATGTGGAGCTTTCAAGCCTTTTTATTTATCAGCATGGATTAAAAAGAGCTTTTACAGAATGTGAAGGAGAACCCTGATCCACACAGGCCCATCCTGCCTTGCTCTTGCACTGCCCCTTTTCACGCACTTCATAAAATTTGATTTGTTAAGAAGTCACATTCCCAGAATTTGAATCTCCATGAGCAGTGGAGAGGGATGGGAAGAGCACAGGAGATGCTGTAATTTCTTCCCTGAGCAGTGCTCTTTCTGATGTGCCTGATGAATCGTATGTTCTGACACCGATGAAACTAAATCCTATTTCAGGTCCAATGGTTTAAATTGTTTTCATCCTTAGTGCCAGAAAACTGGGGGAATGTTGGGTGGTGATGAAACCAATTAATCCTCAAATATTTTTGGCACAGTGAAAACACTTGGTGATGTTTCAGGAGTCCTGGTGTGGCACCGCTACCATGGTGCCAGCTTTAACACTCACGTCCCAGCACATTAAAAACTACATAAAAAGAGGGTTAGGGCTGCCTCTGAGCTGGAAGATTGGAAAATGAAGGAGCAGAGAGCATCGTGAAGGAGGCTGGAAGAAAAGAGAACCGGAGTTTCTGCTGTCTTCATTTCTGACAAAGCCCAGCTTGGTGGATGAGATGGCATTGGAAAGGCTCTGTTCCCAGCTGGGCAGCTGTGGTGTTCTCCTTGGCAAGGCAGCCAGGTTATTAAACAGCTGTCGTTATGAAATAATCCAAGGGGGAAAAACAGACTTTCACAACAATAAACAGGAGGAGGAAAGTGAGTTCAAAATCATCCGTTGCCTCCAATAGCAGGGAAGGAAATTTTTTCTCAGTACCCCGTTAGGAGGTTGGCAAATAATTAGTTAGACGTTATTCCTGAAAAGATTGTATTGTGTGTCTTCCACTATTTATCACAAAGTATCCTGCAGTGACATGCAGGTAAGGCTCCCTTGGGCACAGCCAAGGGCCATTAGAATGGTGGGGCTGAGGATGGAACAGGGAACATTGGAACAGGGTGGCCAGAGAAGCTGTGGCTGCCCCATCCCTGGCAGTGTTCAAGGCCAGGTTGGACACACAGGGGCTTGGAGCAAGCTGCTCTAGTGGAAGGTGTCCCTGCCTGAATCAGGGGTTGGAGCCAGATGAGCCAGATGGAAGGTCCCTTCCAACCCAAACCAGTCTGGGATCCTATGATTTTATGAGTGTGTGCATTTAATACAGAGTAAAGAATTCAATCAGATGAAAATGTGAAATATCTCCTTGCAGAAGGAGCTTTTAAACACATTTTTTCATATCAGTCTTTTTGCTTTTGTTAACAGGCATGGTTTTTGTGTCAGTCTTTTGTTACCATGGCCAGTGTGTGCTCCTTGACACAGCCAAGAGCTCTCTGCCCATGCTCCTGCCCTCTCATGACTGTTGGATGTGTTCACATGTCAGGATGTGAATAAATGATGTTGGGGATAAGGGTAAAACTCTGGGTACAGCTGACACATCACCCTGCAGTATCTTGGGCTGAACCTAGCCTCTGGTAAAAACTCAGCTCTAGGAGCCTGCTGTGCCTGTACAGTTGAGTATGTCTTCCTCAGATGTTTTCTGTCATTTATTTTATTTCCTGCTCTAGTAATGGCTTGTTTTAGCTTTTGACTCTGCTCCAGCACTGCTGATCACCTGCAAACATTAAAGAGCTGCAGCAAAACCCCTGCATGGCACTAGGGTGAATGGGGTCCTCCCATCAAGGAGCTGAGCTTGGCTCCTCTCCTGCTCCTTATCCATTCCAGCTTTAAAGCAGGGACCTCTCCTTTTCCCAGGGGAGAAAGACAGCCTGCTCCTCAGATGTGCAGCTTTCCGAGATGAAGGCAGTGGGAATTTGAGACACAGCAAACTTCCTTCTCTTCTAGCATGCTTCCAAATGAGTAGTTGGCTTGAGCTGAGTAGTAGTTGTGAGATGGAGTGTGCCTACTCAAGACTTTGGACCATGCTGCCTTGTGCTGTTTGTGAAAGCTTCTAAAATCAAAATGAAGCACTGAAACGTTATTTCACAAAGCAGAACATCATCTCATTTCACTTTGGGAGGTTTTGTCCGAGACACTTACTGTCCTCTGGGTAATTCCTTGGGGCAAAACCTGAATCACAGAATCCCAAGGGTTGGAAGGGACCTCAAAAGATCATCTAGTCCAACCCTCCTGCAAGAGCAGGGTAACCTAGAGTACATCACACAGGAACTTGTCCAGGCGGGCCTTGAATATCTCCAACGTAGGAGACCACAACCCCCCTGGGCAACCTGTTCCAGTGCTCTGTCACTCTCACAGTAAAGACATTTTTCCTGATGTTCCCATGGAACCTCCTATGCTCCACTTTACACCCATTGCCCCTTGTCCTGTCACTGGACATCACTGAAAAAAACCTAGCTCCATCATCCTGACACTCACCCTTTACATATTTGTAAACATTGATGAGGTCACCCCTCAGTGTCCTCTTCTCCAAGCTAAAGAGTCCCAGCTTCCTCAGCCTCTCCTCATAAGAGAGATGTTCCATTCCCTTAATCATCTTCATGGCTCTGCGCTGGACTCTTTCAAGCAATTCCCTGTCCTTCTTGAACTGAAGGGCCCAGAACTGGACACAATATTCCAGATGTGGCCTCACCAAGGCAGAGTAGAGGGGGAGGAGAACCTCTCTTGACCTACTAACCACACCTTTCTAATGCACCCTAGGATGCCATTGGCCTTCTTGGCCACAAGGGCACATTGCTGGCTCGTGGTCATCCTCCTATCCACCAGGACCCCCGGGTCCCTTTCTCCTTCACTACTGTCCAGCAGGTCAGCCCCCAACCTGTACTGGTACATGGGGTTGTTCTTCCCCACATGCAAGACTCTACACTTGCCCTTGCTGAATTTCGTCAAGTTCCTCTCTGCCCAACTCTCCAGCCTGTCCAGGTCTCGCTGAATGGCGAGACAGCCCTCTGGTGTGTCAGCCACTCCTCCCAGTTTAGTATCATCAGCAAACTTGCTGAGGGTGCATTCAGTTCCCTCATCCAGGTCGTTGATGAAAATATCAAACAGCACTGGTCCCAGCACCGACCCCTGAGGGACTCCACTAGGCACAGACCTCCAGCTAGATTCTGCCCCATTGACCACGACTCTCTGCCTTCTTCCTTCCAGCCAGTTCTTGATCCACCTCACTACCTGATCAGCAAGCCCACACTTCCTTAGCTTATCTATGAGGATGCTGTGGGGGACAGTATCAAATGCCTTACTGAAATCAAGAAAAACCACATCTACCGCTCTACCATCATCCATCCACCTAGTTACTTCCTCATAGAAGGCTATAAGGTTGGTCAAACATGACTTCCCCTTGGTAAAACCATGTTGGCTGCTCTTAATGACCCCCTCATCCTTGATATGTCTAAAGATGGTGTCAAGAATAAGTTGTTCCATCACCTTTCCAGGGATGGAGGTAAGGCTGACCGGTCTATAACTACCCAGGTCCTCCTTCTTGCCCTTCTTATAGACCAGCGTGACATTTGCCATCCTCCAATCCTCAGGCACCTCACCCATTTCCCACGACTTACCAAAGATGATGGAGAGTGGCTCAGCAATGACCTCCGCCAGCTCCCTCAGCACCCGTGGGTGTATTCCATCCGGACCCATCGATTTATAGATGTCCAGATTACTTAACTGATCCCTAACCCAATCCTCATCCACCAAAGCAAACTCCTCCTTTATCCTGACTCCTTCCGGGGCTATAGGAATCTGGGTGCCCCGGAGAGAGTCTGCAGGAGTAAAGACAGAGGCAAAGAAGGCATTCAGCACCTCTTCCTTCTTTATATCCTCTGTCTCCAGGGCACCCACCTCGTTCAGCAGCGGGCCTATATTGCCTCTTGTGTTAGTTTTATTCACTATGTATTTGAAGAAGCCCTTTCTATTGTCCTTAACCCGACTTGCCAGATTAAGTTCCAAGGAGGCCTTAGCTGTCCTAATTGCCTCCCTACATTCTCTAACAGCTGTCCTATATTCCTCCCAAGTGGCCAGACTCTCCTTCCATAATCCATAGATTCTCTTTTTCCATATAAGTTTACCCAGCAGTTCCTTGTTTAACCATGCTGGTCTCCTGGCTCCCCTGCTTGACTTCCTACCCATTGGGATACTCTGATCCTGAGCTTGGCAGAAGTGGTTCTTGAATGTTGACCAACTGTCTTGAGCCCCTTTACCACCTAGTACCCTTTGCCGTGATACATCCCTTAGCAATTGATTGAAGAGGCGAAAGTTGGCCCTTTGGAAATCCAGAAATGTGGCCTTGCTAGGTATTCTATTCCTCCCACACAGGATCCTAAACTCCACCATCTCATGGTCACTGCAGCCCAGGCTGCCATTGACCATCACCGCTTCAACCAGACCCTCCTTGTCGGTGAGTACCAGATCCAGCAGCGCTCCCCTCCTAGTTGGTTTGTCCACCATCTGCATTAAGAAGTTATCATCAGTGCACTGGAGGAACATCCTAGACTGTGAATGACTGGCTGTGTAAGTCTTCCAGCAAATATCGGGGTAGTTAAAATCCCCCATGAGGACCAAGGCATGTAGTCGTGAGGCTGCTTTCAGTTGCCTGTAGAAAGCCTCATCAACTCCTTCGTCCTGATCAGGAGGTCTATAACAGACCCCCACAACTGTGCCCCCCGTACCAGCCTGTCCTTTAATTCGCACCCACAGACTTTCCACTTGCTCCTCATCTGCCCCTGGACAGAACTCAATACATTCTAGTTGCTCCCTCACATAAAGAGCAGCTCCACCACCTCGCTTTGCTGACCTATCTTTCCTAAAAAGGACATAGCCATCCATGACCACATCCCAGTCACGTGAGCTGTCCCACCATGTCTCTGTAATTGCCACCAGGTCATAACCTTTAGACCGCACACGGACTTCTAACTCCTCCTGTCTATTCCCCATGCTGCGTGCATTGGGGTGCAGGCATTTCAGGGAGCGAGCAGAGCATGCTAGTGGCACCCCTGGGAGGCGAGAGGCCTTCTGGTCTTCATTCATACTAGAATATTGCCCCACTAGTTCAAACCCAGCTACAACCCCCTCGCACTTCGAATCTAACCTAGAGCTCTGTGAGTGAGCTCTGCTAACTCTTGCCCAGGTACCCTTTTTCCCCTGCAGGACAGGGTTTAAACAACTACCCTTTCCCTCAAATGAAACAATAGATTGAGAGTCCTCCCTAGTCCGCCATCCTTCAAGCCCTAGCATGTTTCTCTTGGGCTTGTCCCCAACAGGCCCAGTTATCTCCCCTTCCCTAGTTTAAAGCCCTGTCAATGAGCCCTGCTAACTCCTGCCCCAAAAACCTTTTCTCCCTCTGGGACTGGTGTATCCCACCTGCCACCAGCAAACCAGGTGTCTCATATAGCAGCCTATGATTGAAAAACCCCAAACCCTGCCTTTGGCACCAGTCCCGTAGCCATACATTAATCTGCAGACTCTTCCTATTTATCTCTTCACCCTTGCTTGTAACAGGTGTGGAGGCAAACACCACTTGCGCTCCAGACCCTCTAACCAGCCGTCCCAGGGCCCTGAAGTCTCTCTTCATTGCCCTTGCCCTCCTTGTAATAATTTCATCACTGCCAACCCGAAAAAACCAGCAGCGGATAGTAGTCAGAGGGCTGCACCAGATCAGAGAGTTTCCTTTTAACATCTCTAATCTGAGCCCCAGGTAGGCAGCAGACTTCCCTGTGGGATGGATCTGGTCGGCAAATGGACCCTTCTGTTCCCCTCAGAAGGGAGTCACCCACCACAATTCCTCTTCTTTTCTTCTTGGTTGAGGAAGTTCTAAGGCCTGGGGGTGAGTGACAAGCCCTAGGTGACTCACTAGATGGATCTACCCCTCCATCTCCATTTACCTGGCCCTGTAGTTCCAAGACCTCGTACCTGTTATTCAAGGGCAATTGGGAGGGAGAAAGGGATTGCGAGGGTTTTCACTTACCTCTTCAAGGAGGGACCTCCCTCCATACCGCCTTGTCCCTTAAGCTCACTCCTTCTGTCTGATGGTAGGAGGGAAGGGGATCCATCACTTGTTCAACCACTTCCCTCTGCCCTTGCCTTAGGGTGTGGCTCCACCAATCTATTTCATTTTCTGAATCTGAGCGTACCAAAGGTGTAGCCTTTACAACATATGAACTTCATTTTAAGATCTTCAGATCTGTGTGTGTTTAAGTGATGTTAGACATGTTTCTTTCTACTAGAAAGTAATTTACAAGGAGCTACCATCTGGTGCTATCTGGGGCACCACTTGTTTCCGGACTTAATCTAAGGGAAATGTGGTGTCTAAGCTACTCTTTTGCAGCATCGTTTCCTGGCTCTTGGTTCAACAGTGGTAATACCAAATGGGTTGTCTTAAGAACCAAGGAGGACTCCTGCTGCTCTGCCCAATCACTTCCCTCCAGGCAGCCTGGCAGAACTGCTGGGGGTATTCAGAAGCTCTTGGTTTAGATTTTAGTTTCTTAATGGCAGTGTAGGGTTTGGGGGTGGGCGATGCAAAGGTGGGAGGCTCCAGCCCTCACATTTGGATATTCTTGTTATGTATATAACATGCAAACAATTTCTTTCAAAGCAAACTACTGTCATTTAGAAGCAATGGGGCTTTTGCTTGTGTGCAAACAATTAAGGAGGGGACCCTGTTTCTTTTCAGTCTCAGTGCTTCTATATGCCATATGCTGCCTCCAACCTTATGGAGATTTGATGATTTATTTTCAAGGAGTGGTGTGTTTAAGCGTGCAGGTTATCAAAGATATGTTACATGTATGAAAATATATCGTCTTCTAAGCTGCCCTGGTTCTCACTAATGGGCAGTAAGTAAATGCACTTTCAGTAGAGCCTGTGGTTTGACAAAATTATCCAGTAGAACAAAGATCAGCTTTCGGCTGGCTTGGGGTTTGAAAACAAACTGTAAAATGGTGCATAAATTGGTACCATGTGTAGCATTTCCTGAATCGGATACAGCTTATAATGGCAACAGCTTTGGTAAGCTAGGAAATAAGCAGAACTTAGCGTTTGGATTCTGTCACTTGTTTCTGATAGCTCTTTTGTAAATATTTGAATAAGCAAGAATACAATGGGATGAGCTTTAAGGTCCCTTCCAACCCAAACCATTCTGTGATTCCATGATTATGCTTTCTAGTTAAGCCCATTTCATGTAATGCTCAGCTGCAGAATAAGCTTCAGCAGTGACCTGGTTTAGAAGACAAACACTTAAAAGTCAGTTCCAGTAAATATAGTTGTTGTCACCTGCTTCAGTAAGTACAGCTACACGGAGAATTCCATCCCAAGCAGTCCTAGAGGCTGAAGGGACTAATGAGAACAACCAGAGCAGTCTGTGTAATGCTTACTCTGCTCAGCAGCTTATGAAACAGGAGTAAACGGGTGACCTGGCATGAACCGTTCCCTGAGACAGCCTGTAAAAGCTCATCTCGCTTCATTACTGCTGACCTCTTTGTAAGTGAAATGACTGCCTACAACTAAGAACTCTGCAGCAGCACTGCAAACCAAAGAACTAGTTAACCTGATGTCACCCCTCGTAGATACTCACTAGGATTTTAAACAAGCACCTGCCTTAAAAGAATAATCATCATGTGATTAAATTATTTATACTTGAAGCCAACTTGCAGATGCTTTCATCTGCTAAAAAATACATGACCTCTGAGGGCTTCAGAGACTGAAAGTACAGATTGCATGTCTGAAGATGTTTTGCAAATCTTAATCACAATAAAAGAGATGGTAATAAACCAGCATCCTTTTTATTTCAAAAGACATCCAGTTGCAAGTTGAATACTGCTGTTGCCCAGTAGAGTCTCATAGTCAGGGGCAGATCAGGTTTTCCTGTGTTTAGAAGCAGAGTTGAGGCTCTTTGAAGCTGTAAGTATCTCTTTTGTAATGCTTTAGTCACACTGAGCTCAGGAGGCATAAGGATTCACAGCAGGTTTTTTGCTGCTGTTCTGAGCCTGGCTCTGGTAGACTTCAAGTGAACAGACACCTACCCCCTTAATGCAGACCTCCACATCCAGCTTTTGTCCCCCAAGACCGTGTCCAAGTTTGAAGTGTTTTTTCTTCAGGAGGAAGGAGATTGTCTTGCAAAGTCCACTGGAGTATGCAGTTGATAAGTCATCTCCTGGTGCTTGTTCCCTACCCTGCTGCTCTGTATCCAGTTAGTTCCACAAGCCACTGGGAGATGGGATATACAAGCCTAAACAGATTCTGTTGTACAACAGTTTAACATCAAAGGTGATATAAGAAGAGCTATATTTTCCAGGAGAAATCTACTCTAACAGCTTGTTCACTTGAGTGACCTGAAAAATTATGGTCCAATAAAGAGGGAAATAAAATGTGAAACAACCTGGTACATCTGTCCTCCACCTCCCTCTGACTGCTTTCACATGTTTCAGTGCAAGACAAATATGAAAGCTACATTCAAAATTAGGCCAAATCAAGTATAAAGACAGTAAACATCAATAGAGCTGGGGCATCTGTTTGCATCTGCCTTTAGGGTGGTAAGGACAAGTCAAAAAAGTGAGAGGATTAGCCACAATTACAGTTCTTCTTATTTTATGTCTTGCTTAAAAAACCAGAAAGATGCAAATCTGGCAATGAAAAATATCTAATATTCATAGCTAAATTAAAAGTAACTATCCTTTGGACAGATTATGTATTTGGGAAAACACAAAGCAACTACTTCAGACACCTAGCTTAGGTAGAACGTTTCCTGTAGAGAAGAGAGGCGGCTGCCTCCAGAGAGCCTCTCCAGGCTAAATCATGTGTACTGATGGGCAAATATTCCAATGCAAGGTAACAAAGCTGGTACAGTCAATAATGTTATCAAAATTACTGCCAGTGGTAAGGCACAGATAAAATAATTCCATGCTTGGAAGGGCTCTGCCTACATCACGTCTGTTCTCCAAAAGAAAGGTTTCTAAGGCTTTCAGCACAGCTATTTGGCCAGTCTGATTCACTACACTACAGCACCAGTACTGCGATAGCACAGGTGTGTATGAGTTCATACATACTCCTTCAGCAGTTTGCTGGTTTGTAAAAATTAATATGGAAAATTGTCCCGAGTACCTCCTTAAGAACTTGTTCTGGGCTGTGTTTAACTTAGTCCAACACACACCATTAAAACCATTGCTTACTAGATACTGGTTAAATACATGTCAACTTGGAAATGAAGCATCAAAAGAGGAATTAAAAAATAAAAAAGAATTTCTGTTCCATTATTAATCACAAGTTTCTGAGATTTGTTTTTGGTTAGCAATTTTTACAGAAGGTGTAAATGCAGATACAGTGCCCCAACAGGCCTCGAGACCCAACAAAAGAGAAATGTGATCAATAAACATTGTAAATGAGATGAGACACATGGAGGTCAAGCTTCTGTTACTATGTGCAAGGGAGCGTTTAAAAATTAACAGCAAGGAAAAGTATTAGTACAAGTCTTCATGTACAAGTTAGCATGATCTAGAAAACTAGGAGTTTTGTGATTGCAGATGTGATACTTCGGAAATATCTGAAATGCTTTTTGTTATAGAAATCTCTGTAACTTACACCATTATACAATAGCATATTTAGAAAAAGTGCCAGTCCCTGAGCCAGCAGGTAAGAACCTAAAAGATATTTATATCTCTCTAAAAATATTTAAAAATAAAAATTAAGACATTAGTTAAGCTTTTAGCCATAAACGCATAAGAGCAACTACAGCAATCAATCTTGGGAAGAGAAGAGGGAAAAGTAAGTTACAGAGGGATAAACTTCTTTCAGTTTGCTACTTGAGTTGCTGAAAGGCGCTTACTACCAGTTTTGCAGGTAAAGTTCACCCTGTGTCCCCTGGTTTTCCAAATGGTTTTCCAGCTGGGCCTAGAAAAGGCAGTGCTTGAACAGGGTTTCCAGAAACATATATAATACACAGAATACGGAGTACAGCAACTATTAGCAGTTATTTGTGTCTGTGCACAAATGAGAAGAAATTTTAAGTGAGGTCCAGAAATTAAGAAGCAGGACAAATGAGTCCCTGTGACCAAAACTAGACAAATGATAGCCTACAGCTTCTGTTTGTCTCACCTTTGCTTTAGCTAGAGAGGAGAAAAAAGAAAACAAGGCACAGCTATCTCTGCACACTGCAAAGGAAGACCACTGTTGTGCCATGGAGTACACTGGTTTAGTGCCAAGCAAGTGAAATAAAGGACAATGTGACCACACCAGAACCAAAGGCCTGATGTTTCATACCACAAGGAAGTGATAACTTGCCACAAATAAAAAAAGGCATGGAGAAAGGGAAGTCCTGTGAAGTGCCACCAATTGATAATACCTTCTTTGATGAGCTCTCTGAAAATCAGTTAGTTTCTGCAGAAGTGGAAATGCCAGTATTCCAGAAACCAATGTCCTTGAGTCAAAATCAACCTTTCCTTAGATGCTGAACAGTTTAAATATTAACACATGGGAAAATTCCAGGTACACAAATATGCTGCTTGTTGGAGACCAGAGAAAGCTGCTTGATGTGTCCAGCTTCTTCAGAGTATTCCCCCCCCCCCCCGCCATCGTGTCCAAGTGTAACTGGCTCAAGTGCAAATGGCATCTAGAATGAATGCTTCAGGTCTCTGAAACACAAAATAAAGATATTGAGATGTTAGTGATACAAGAATTAGAGTAAACGACAAATTTGCCTTAAAGGGGAAATGAAGGTGGGTTTTCTTTGAAGTATGCATAATAGTAAAGGTAAAGCCAGAAAATGCTGGCCACATTTCTCTCAGAGCTTTGAGGAGATTGTGGACAGAAAAAAAGACTTATTTTTCAAGTTGCATTAAGGTGACTGGGTGTTTTTAACAAGAGCAGTAAGTACAAATGGGGGACAACAGATGTGATGTTCCAAAGCGATAAAGAACTACCACATTTAACAAATATGGAGCAAAAAGACAAGGTCCCAGACACCACATTTGGCAATTTTATTAGGAAGCTGCCTGTGTGAGAAGCATTAAGGCAGGATCACACAGCTGCTGGTTTTGTACAAATGTAAACTTGTTTTAAATATCCTTTGGTCTTGTCTCTACCTGAGGTTACACAAACCAGCTACTGGTTCTCCTTTACTGAGGCACTGCAAGTTTATTAAACCAATTCCAACAGTAGATACCAATCATGTTCATGTGTGTGAAGATACCCTAGCTGTGCACAGCTATATGCAATATATGATATAGAGCTGTACGAGCTATTACCATCTTCTAGGCAGAACTGTGTTTCATGCTGTCATGATGATCTCAGTTACATGTGCACAGGTCTCTCACATAAGACCTAGCTTTCTAACTAGGGATTCCACAATTCTAGTTACAGTTAAGCCACAAAGCCCTTGGAGTTGACAGTTTATGGAAAACAGAAGGAACAATAGAGGAGAAATGCCAACACAAATGCTGTGAAGACCCTCTTCTTGCCAGATGGTGCCAGGTAAGCAGTAAGACATTGCATAAAACCACTGATGTTTCCATAAGACTTAGCCACGTGTGTGTGAAGTTAGGGGAAAGTAGACAAAGTCCACGGATGGGTGGGAGAAATTTTTAGGGAGATACACTTCTCATGTTTAAAGAGGTAATGCTCTTTAACAGAAATGTTCAGAAGTCAGCCTGGCATATTAATGCTGTCTGGAGCCTGGATTGTAACACACAAAATAGATGTCCTGCAATCTCAGTTACAGCTGCAGGGTTCTTCAAAGCACTTTGGTATTGAGGTGTGCTTTACAGAAATACAGCAAGAGATCAAAGAGGGAGCAGAGCTGGCACTGGTACTGGGGAGAATCAGTAAGGCACCTCATTAGAGAATGCGGTATTAGTAGAGAAACAGCAGATGAACTGTGGGTGAGCTCATGCATCCAGTATCCTGATAAGGCAAGGTGTGTCACACCTACCCCCTGCATTTTGGTTGACTTCTAAGTATACCATTATATTAAGGCACTAACTGGCTCTGGGTTGGACTGTCAACTCGTGGTCCTCTCCACCCAGCATACACTAGTATGATAAGCAAAATCTACTTCTCCTCTCTTCCCTCGTTTTTCTTTCACTGTACCAAAAAGAGATACGCTGGGATTCTGGTATTTCACCTTGTCCATGATTTGAATTTCTCGATGCCTATTTCAGATTCTTGTCTCTGCCTCTGTTCCTGGCTATTGTGCATGTTTTTTTCCTGTGAAGACAGCTACAATTCCAATAACCCTTCATTCAGTTCTCTTGGCTTTGCCAGTGCAATTTTGAGGTTAGTGTTTCAGTATTGTTTTAATGTGTACTATTGAGATGGATGTTCCAGGTATAATTGTGAACATATCTGAGATAATCTGTGTGCTCTTTGCTACTAAAATTAAATATTTATAAGTTTATTTGTAGAAACTATGGCCAGAAAATACAATAAAACAATCTTGTTTCAGTGCCAGAATTTCACAGATTTTGGTTAAAGCAGACAATTCCACCTTCACCCCAGAATAAATGAATTTCATTCTTCATCTTTCTAGTAAGTTTTTGCATTGATTTGCCCACATACTGTTCAGAGTCATGATAAATTCTGACCTGGTTTCAGTTCTTGCACAGATTTCTCTTGCACCATTCATCTTCAGATTAGGGCCCTGTTTAAAGGCCTTGTACCTTCATTTTCATGGAGAAAGGCTTTCATTTAGAAGTTAACTCAAACTAATAATGTTACACGTATGGGCTGTCAGCCTAGTAGCCAGTGTACCGTGGCTTGCCAAGGAAGTCAAGTAATTCCTTCTTCAGCAGGTCTTCTGAAATACTGGATATTAGGAAGATAAAGAGCCAGGGCAATGTTGGTACACACAGACATAGCAGTGCTATTTTAAAGGCAGATGTTGAACTATAGCGTTTCTTGGGCTACAAGCCTACAGTTTAGGTTTATCTCCTACAAAATTGTTCATCACAGCTATGATGCTAGGAAGATACCCATTTTGATTCCCATAACTCCTACATTTATTCTTCTGCATAAGTAAATACCAAACTTTAAAATGCAGGTAGAGCAAACAGTATTGTTCTAAATGACCACATGTATTAAGTAAAGCAATAGCGCACATCACTTTGGGATGAATCTCCCACAGAGCAAAAGCCCTGCAGCTTGGGAGATCGAAAAGCCACACTATCTGCACAGGAACTGAAGGGCTCCAGTGATGTGTATTATATGTTGGACTTAATAGCCCTAATTACTTGGATAAAGATTAAATCTTCAGTCTAACAGACTGGACGCAGTATACTGCAAAACTTTCATAAAAGAAGAACAGGCATTTGGAGGAAGCAAAACAGTATTATTTCCCTTCTTGGCTTAGTCAGCAATGAGGAAAAGGAGTGGCTAAATGAGGACAACCTTTACACTTCCTATGCGTGACACATACAACCCTGACAAAATAAGATGCTGCCATCAACTTCTGAACTCTAATTTACAAAACCACTGTAATTACATAGCAGTCCCTAATTGCTTCTGCTTTTGCAACTGTCAGAAGTAAACTCTTTATCTGTGAAGGCTAGAACTGTATAGATAAATCGGTGGCTATTTTTAAAGCTATGCCCTAGCATGCAAAGCATTCTTGTATGCTATGCCCTACTACCTGAGGGTGCAGAGAGATCATACTCACCTTTTATTTACTGTCTTGAAGCTGACTCAGCAACTGGCTTCTGCACTCCAAAGGCAGTGATAAAAATATTCACAACTACTATAATAAATACTAGTCCAGTTGCAAGGTTGTTGAGGAAATTCAGCTTTCCATGTTTTGCAGGGTTGTTAAGGTCATATTTTACTTCAAAGATAAAGGGAAAAAAGTTTTAGTTATACGTATTATATGTTTAATTATATGTATTTCAAAATACAGAATAAAAGTCTTCACTACTTGTGCAGTTCAAGAATTTCTCTTACACTATTTGCATCAGTCATACTTAAAAGGGAAGTAAAATTCTGCAGTGTCAGTAAAAGTGCTAAGCAGAAGATCTTTAACCACAAGGAGCCTATTAGCTTCCAGTAATTAACATATAATCTCTGTGGATGCACATGGGAAGTAACGGATACACAAACATCACTAGAAATGTTCTGAGTTCTTGATCTTCCGAAATCTAGTTTTGTTGCAGACCTTAAACATTTAAAAATTCTTTCAGTCATGAATACACAAAGCTTGAAGTCCTGACCAGATAGAATGAAGTTAAATTTCCTGCAGGTTCTTCACAGGAAGCCCAATCTCTTTAACAGTGCTCTAATTATTTTTTTGGTGCTGGTGCTCTTCCCCAGCTGTACTCCCTGATTTTGCATTGATTCTGCTTTTAGAAAGCAAGGGCATTATATCTGCTAAACAGAGCACTGTAGCTGCAGTCCTTTTTATGGAAAGCATCAGCTGTGTAAACATTTTCTTCTGTTCCTTGCAGTTGAACTGCTAATGGCAGTGAGGGAGGAACACACAAGGGAGATAGTATTAATTTAGTTTAAGCTTTGATTCCAGGCCTTGTGAAAATATATGAAAGAGTTACACTGGACTGATAATAGACTTGATGATAGAGTAAAGCATGTGCCTGTGTAAGACAGTCTGGGGTGCTTGCCTGGCATCATGCAGAAACACAAGATTTTCCTCTGTGTCTGCTTTCCTGCATTAAGGGCTCTGCAGCTCAGACCTTCTGCTAAATTTGATGCTGGTGGAATCAGTGCCAATGAATTCTGGAGCTTGTTTTGAGGATAGTTTTTTGCCTATTAAAAATCCTAGTTCTTCTTGGAGTCTGCATGTTCAGGACATGTGATAGAAAGTTTATACATGACAAGTTTTTACAGCAACATAAACCTTTGAGCTCTTTCTGACAGGCACGCACACAGATGTCTAGCCTAGGACCCTACTGCCAGAGATCAACTTTATTATTTGGTTTTTAACACAGTGAGCCTCTCAACACTGCAGAACTTAACCACAGAACCATGATAAGCTTGTTTGTTGAAGCAGTTATACAGAAGTAGTGACAAACAAACTCGATGCTGAAGTATTAAAAGTGAGGTTTACTTGGCCCCTAATTAGGAAGTCTAATGCTGTTTTGGTTTCAAGGAATTCCGGGCACCTCTTCAGGTACTGTTTGCTAAACCTCTATGATGTATGTCAAACATCACAGGCCAGGCAAAGCACTGTGTGGGAGAACTACCTTTGTAGGCATGAAATAATTTAAGCTCAGCAGTATTTAACCCTGAAAATGAGTTTATATATGTCTGTAAAGTATCTGGAGCTATGTGGATGTTTGTATCCCAACAATACATAGAAGGACTCCCAGACTCTCATGTGTCGAATAAATGAATATTGAATCATTACTCCTAAAGTATAGGAGAAAAGCATTTCAGACAGTTGGTTTAAAAAAGAAAAGGGAATAATGGCCTAATGTATTTTGTGAGTTAGAAGAAACCATGCTCAAAGGAGAACTGACACTTTCAGAGCCATCCCTTTGTCCAAGTAAGGGTCAGAGAAGACAATATTGCTGGTCAGTTTAGGCAGTGCTCTAAATTTTGAAGTAGAATGGCAGTCATGCTATGTTAGTGATTATAGTGCTTAAGATGAGTGTGTTTGTGAAAATGTTCTTAAGAACAGCTATTCTTTAACTATTTTATTATAGTGGGATTAGATTACTATGATTTCATGCCACTTAAACTATTTCAAGACATTCTTTGCTTTTTCCCAAAAAGTTAAGGTTACCAAATCACTTTCAAGGACAAATTTGCTGAATGTTTTTCAAATTGTTTTTGTGAAAGGCTCTTTTGAAAGGGGAAAAGCTCTTAAGCACACACACAGAGCAGAAAGAACTGGTAATGCCTGGGATAAAACTCTGTCTCAAGGAAAGAAACTGGATAGTTGCACAGACTTTTGTTTGTACTTATGACAGCTTGTAAGTGGCAGAATTTTGTGGCTGGACAGAAAGACAAACTGTTCTTGCAGGCCAAAACTACCAGATACACACTGCAAAAAGCAAATTCTTGCTATGATGCCTGTATCTTTGTACCTTCATATCCTATTTCCTATCTTCAGTACTACTGACCTTTGCATGACAGCATTGCTCCAATGGTACAGGGCTTTGTCACCCTTGGTACCCTGAACCTCCAGCTGCTGCTGACTGCACATCACGGGCTGAACTCCAGATGCATCCCAGTGTTTGCTAAGTGGTTTGTGATCTCTGCCTCAGCTCAGCTTCGGAGTAGAGGCTGCTGGGTATGCTCTTTGTTCTCAGTGTGACAAAGATAAAAATGACAGGAATAGAAGCCACTTCGGCAATGCCTGGCAGAAGCAAGCATTAAAAAGCCATGTCTCAGTATATACTGAGAAATTATTGCCTAACGAAAAGCAGGAAACTTGTTTAGAGTCTCAAAGCCTGCTCAACTGAAACAACCACTAGCGAGATGCCTTCAACCTAGAAACATAGAATCATAGAATCACGGGATGGTTGGGTTGTAAGGGACCTTAAAGCTCATTCAGTTCCAACCCTCTGCCACAGGCAGGGACACCTTTCACTAGAGCAGGTTGCTCTAAGTCCTGTCCAAGCTAGCCTTGAACACTGCCAGGGATGAGGTCTACTTATTTTTGTGTATTGCTGATTTCTCCGTGACTGTCCATGACACATCCCTAGTATCATCAGGTCACCTTTCCCAGTCCCTTTCTGTAATTCCCTCTGAGCCTGAATGTTGCTCTTGTACTTACCCTACCAATGCAGGGACAGCTGTATTCTGTCTCTTTTGTAACAAAAAAAAAGCTACATCAGCTGCATATCAATATTATAAGCCTTACGTATCCTGGTTTCCTAGGAACTTCCTCCTTGAACACCAAGTTTTTTTTCAGTTGTGCTAAAAACCAGCATGCTGAAAGACTAGCATAGATGCCAAAGGTGGCACCTATAACTTAGTAAATGTTGTGTCAATTCTGACTGCCATCTTCAAGGCTTTGCATTTATGATAGACTTAAGATCTGCCATCCAATACCCTTTGATTTAATGGGAAAGATTTAAGAAAAGTTATGAGAGTAAATGATCATATATTACTAGCAAAAGAAGTGGCACATAGCTGTTTCCTACCAGTGAAGGTGTCATTTAGGTGTTCAACTGATGCTGAAACCTAAACATTTCCTCCGATTCCACAGGTATCTTTGATCGACTTGCCAAAGTTATGGTCTAAGGCTTGGGTGCTGCCAATGAACACTGCAGGTTTCCAGTAACTTTGCAAAATGCTACTGGGTTCTTTTTGCATTTTGCCTTGCAAAACCGTGGGGGGAAAACATCACAGTAGGGTGAGATAGCAAAGAGAAACACTGAAGACTTGTTTAAGGTCAAAACAGAAATTTCAGGTTTCCAGAAGAGTTTGGATAATTCATGCTCACATAGTGATGACACTGTTTTGGAAATGAGCCTGGTTCTATAGGTACTTAGATCAATATTCTGCTTTACAGAATAAGGCAGAGGGTGCAGGACATATCTGTGCTACTAATCGTAGAATCACAGAATGGTTTGGGTTGGAAGGGACCTTAAGGCTCATCCAGCTCCAACCCCCTGCCATGGGCAGGGATACCTCCCACTAGAATATTGATTTAAAATACTTTATATTTAGTGATAAGTACTGGTTCTAGTGCCTTATGGCATTGTACCTATTAATACTGACTAGCGGAATCTCTATTTTTGAGAACAGCAAACATGTTGCATTGAACATTGAATGTGAATGTTTATCATTCCCCAAATAAGTCTGAAAGCGGAGAGTGAGAAGGGCAGGGAGCAAGGAACTAATTCTATTCCTGTCCCATTAAACATGTCCAGAGCACACACGAACACAACTCCTGTTTGAAGTCATTCTCTTGAGATGATTTCAAGCATATGTCAAAGGTAATGCATCATATTTCTTTGGTAGAAAGTAGAAAAGGTTTCCCTAGTGATAAGCAGAATTCAAGACAACCTAGTTTTAGTTCCAAATTGCTACTCATGTTCACAAAATATTCTCAAAATATTATTTTATAATAATTAACAGGATTAAGTAACAGGTCTTGCCAGAAACAGTATTATGAAACTGGGAAGGCTGCATGATTCTATCTGGCCTATTAATGTTTCTTTTACAGTATTTCATCATTTTCCTTCCTCCTCAGGCCTTCTGAAAAGAAAAATATTCATAAACTGGGCAAATGAGGAAGTTGATCAAAACTGAAGATTCCACATAAAGCTGCCCTTCCTCCTTTGGATGCACTATTTCTAAGGTCTTAAGAAAATACCTCAATCAATTATGAGATAAAGACTTTCAAATATAACTTTCAAATATTTAAGAATAATTAGGGAGTCTATATACCATTTTATATACCATCTTATAGGTTGCATCCTGTAAGAAAAATACATGTCAATGGTTTTGTTGTTGCTACATACCAAGGAATATCAGGAGTACTCCCACGATAACTTGCAGTGTGAGTGACAGGCTGATAAGAATAATAAGTGGGATGAAGAAGGAAAAAGAAGGTCCTTGCTCTATCACGGCTTTCAGCTGGGATGCATTGGCCATCAGCAGGGCAATGTCCAACATGCTCTCTGCAGCACTTTTCTTATTTGCATAGTGGTTGATATTCATAGGTCCATTTCTTTGAAACCACTGTGATGTTCTGTGCTAGAATCGGGAGAAAGGAAAAAGATTATTCACATCTATCTTAATTGGTGTAGTGAGTGAGAGATCACTTGGCACATCAACTAATTTCTGTATTCATACTGATAAGAGCAGTAGTGGTACTGAGACTTTCAGTGCATCTTTTTCACTGTTACTACTGTCCTCCATCTGACAAGAGAGCAGTAAATACTGCCTGTACTGCACTTTGGCAGGTACACTTTTTCCAGCTTGTAGGATCAGTCTGACGAGTCAGGATGTTTCTATGCTGGGAAAGGGGAAGACTGAAGAAGCTGAAAAGCTTGCACTGCAAAAGGTTGGGTGGGAAAAACCCCTGCAAAGCAATCAAGCAAACAATAAATTGTTGCAACTACGGCATACTTAAAACCACAAATATTTATTAAATTCATCCTCTGTTATCACATAGTTCTAATTACTCATGAATCTTACCTGGAGGACTTATGTGGAAGTTGGCCACTGTACGAGCTTTGCTTAACCTCTTTCCTTGCTGCTTACTCTGCCATGTCCCTGTCCAGTCCCACCCATACACAGTGAACTGTTTTTCCACTTTAATAGCTTATGATGTGTGGGTGCCAAGCACTGCCCAAGCACAAGGGAAACTTTCTTTCCATTTTTCACATCAACAGGTTTTAATTTTTTTAAATTGTCCTTCAAACAAACAGGAAAGTAAAACCCAACTGCAGGGCAAAACCAGAGCTTGTTAACCTGGCAGGACAAAAAAAATGAATGTCTCCTAATAATGATTCACATGACATTTGACAGCTCATCTCTCAGAGGTGCCTATTTCTCTATGGATTAGATGCAGCTTAGGGTAACTAGGTTAGGCTTAGATGCCTGACTCTGCGATGAGAAGAGTAGGTAACCCTCATTTCTGTATTCTCTGAACAGGTTAAGAATTTAATTATTGCTGCTCTTCCTTATAGACTTTATTCCAAAGTAATACACAAATATACTGGAAGTAAGCTTATGCTAGCTGACTTCTCTAAAGCTGCTTCTTAGAGAACTTTTTAATTGCACAAGTATGTTCCTGCTTGCCAGAAAATACTGTGGGGAAAGTCTCACTTTGAAGGTTAGTTCAAATGCAGAAAACTGCCCTCTAATTACTCTCTCCAGCAGCACTGAGAACTATCAAATTTCCAACTCCAAAGCCAGGTTTGCCACTGTACAGCCCTAAAAGTGTCCTCTTAAATAGGACAGATATTAATGCATAGAGCAAACACATTCCCAGCTTTTCCAGGGCACTCAAATACCAAACTTTACCCATTTTCACCAGACATGTTGTAATCAACCACAGCCTAAATATTTTACTCAGTGAAAAACAGCATGGGACAGTAGCAGACTTTTTTTCCTATAAAGAGAAAGAAGCCATGTAATCATAGCTTCACGAAGATGGCTTCTTTATATTGAGACGAGGCTGCTGAAGAAACTGGCTTTGAAATGAATGCTGACTTCAGTCAGGAAGATCTCAGTACACATTTGGTTTTGTCTATATCCCACCACCTAAAATGCAATTTGGCTGGGGGATCTGTCCTACATTTGCCACTTTTTCTCTCCTCAAGGCCAGCCTCCTCGTCCTACCTCCCTGCCCCATTAAACCACTGAAGCATTTGGATGCTTGGAAAAATACTGTAATTCTAGTATACCATCCACCAGAAGCACTAAACCAGATGTGGATGTTCATTTCCTTATGGAAAGCAGCATGGAATATATGGTGGCAGTACTCTAGAAAGATCCAGACTAACATTTTTCACTGTTTAGTGTACAGTAAAAAGCCAAACGCACACACTTAGCTCTTGGCTACTTAATGCTGGCAGTGTACAACAGGATGGGGAACTTCATGTGTAACAGCAGAATGCAATTTCTAAGCATGAATTTAGAAGAAAGTCTTCTTAGTAGACTATAGAAATAATATTTTATCACAAGTTCATAATAAAGGAAGCTTTTCCCTATATTGACTAGCTAATTAACTCCTTCCTGATGAAAATACTGCCATAGAAATACCTGTTGGGGCTACGAAGTTGCAGCATGCAACACCATCAAAAACTACATGGGTAGCTGTGACTCGGTTCTTAATCCTGATGGAAGGGGACTGCAGTAAAAACACGACAACTAGTTTCTGTGTTTTCATTGATGTGGGAATGTGATGGTGTTTGACATGGTGGTCTGTTGGGTTATTTTAACTTCACAAAAGAGTAGATAGTCTGGGCTGAATCTTCCTTTCAGTTACCTCTGTGACTACAGGACATAAGACAGTTTGTACATAAAAAGCAGAATCTTTTCTTTCTCCTGGAGAAATGTCCTGCTGTACTTTTAGGACCTTGCTGTTTGCTGATTTTCTCTATGGTCAGGTTGCATGTGGGAATAGGAGGATATGGCATTTGAATTGTGGTGAAAGCAAAGGGGTTGAGTCACTTCTAAACTCCAATAAATGGAGAAGACTTTTCAAAGTAGGGTGCTGCTGAAGCAAACTAAGGCAAAACTTCTTATTCCTGGCATGACAACTCAGCTATTTACTATGCTTAGATTCTAAAAACTGGCATTTTGCTCTGTTAAGAGACTTTCAGCTACCACTCCTGAAAGCAGACCAGCTCAGAATCAGAATGAGGCATATGGAGAAGTGAAATGTTGGTTCTACTGTAAGCAGCCTGTGGTCTTGTCTTCTGCCAGGAAAAAAGAACTGTAATCATAGAAAACCCAGAAACAATCATTCCTCATCTCCTGCTTGAGAACTGGTACCTCCTCACTCATGCTGGAAAACCATCAAACAAATAAAAATGCTTTCTGGAAGCAAGTTGAAGACAACTGCCAAAAGCACTGGAACAAATGCAGTCAGCCCTATGGCAGCAATTTTTAAGATTTGACTATGTGTTGTACAACAACATATAGACAGGGAAAGAAAGAAAAGCTGTTGCCTTAACCTCAGGATAATTACAGTCATGTACAACAGAAATTATATGGGAACTATGTTATGCGGCTTTATGTTTTTTTCAGGGAGATTAAAGCATGTAGCAAACATATGCAGCCCACAGTATCCAATGACACTTCCCCATGCTGTTATCATCTGCAGAGGGAAAGTGTGGCTTCTGAAGACTTTCTAGGATGCATGTAAAGTAAAACTTTTCCTGCAGGTGTCACTTGGCAAGAGAAATGTACTTCACACAACCTGCCTTATCCTCAACGTAATCAAAACACTTCATTACACACTTTGAATATTCAAATTACCTGGTGCAAACAAGCTGATCCCTTCAGCTGGCATCACTGAATGAGTCTGAGGAAAAACTGCACGTGTTTTCACATGTGTGTGCACAAGAGCCAGGTGTAGGTGGAACTGCTGTATCTTCCTTTCCCTGTCAGTAACAGCCTGCCCTCAGGTCTCAATTGCCAGCAAAGCACCAACCCTGAGCAGAACAGCCTGCCGCACAATTATGAAAAGTAGAGGGCTGAAAAACTTCTTTCTCTGTCTGTGACTGGAACAATCTCCTGTGGAACTGCTGATATTCACAGTCAAATGATGTTGTCCCCATGGACAATAATATCACTGGTCCTCACACAGCAGCAAAGTCTGTTTGCTTGCCCAGAGCAGAGCTGTTTGCAAGGATAAAGCTAAGATGCTGCATGAGAAGCTGGAACTTTTTTTCTTCTGTAAGACCAACCCTTCCCACCAGGATTGAACGGTATTAGACACACAATCTCACTGTGTTGACATGGACTTTGCTGCTGCTTTGCTTCACTCATCATTTCAACAGGAGACCCAGAAGATCTGAGTCCCTTTGAAATACAGAGAGGATTTATTCATTACATTTATTAAAAAATAAAAGTGGCACTGAGACGAATGTCCTTGTATGCCAACTTTCATGAATCACATCTGAGACCCACCTGGTGATTCAACAGGAAGGAAACAGCACTGAAAATGGAAACATCTGAAAACAAATAATAAAGTAACTAAATACAGTAACTAGTTATAGTAAGGATTTCTGCTTCTATTACAACATGAAATCAGTACTTGTGACAACATTTATGTAGCTGTTTGTTCAGCAGAGTATTTATCGAACACTAGTCACTGCTGAAGCAGTCAAACCAAAATGCTGGAAGTCTGAACAAAAAAATGGGAAGCCCAAAAGTTGTTTATTTTCTTGTCCAACTTGACCTGAGTTTGCCAAACTGTATCAGTGAGTCTTTGCAGAGAAGACAGAAGGGGTCTGTGACATGCCAATCACCTGTAATCCACTGAGAAAAAAACCTACAAACCACTAGTGAAAATGTTGCCTGCTTTGCATTTGTATTTACAACTTAGTTATGGTTGTTTCTGTCACTCTGCCCTACGAATGCAGGAAGAAAGAGTTCGGATTCTGACAGCAAGATGTTAGGATTCATTTCTTCTCTTTTTGTACGTCCCCAGGTGCTCAATGCAGCTTCTTAAATGTCTTGCACCACATATATTCTCATTTAGATATTGTTTTAAGAAAATCTCAGAAAAAAAAAAGGCCAAAACAAAAGCCCCACAAAAGGCAAACACTGCCTGAAACAACAGGATCTTGAAATTTCCAAGCTGAGTCAAATCCGTTATGAACACTGAATTTACTGTTCTTGTAATGAAGTTAACAGGTACTTGCACTAGCACAAGACTGTTTACTGTTTTCTTCTTAAATCCCACAAGAAAACCAGTATTTTGCAGTTCACAAGGTGAACTTCCAGTTTCCCAGATGAATACTTTGAAACAGAAACTGCAAAGTATAAGCCAGAAGTACAGCCTGGGTCTCTTCAATTTTGATTTGCAATTTGTACCACAGCTCACCATGTTTTGCATGTCAGGCCCAGAGTCTCATATCTGGGTTCTGAAAACACACAAATCCTTAATTTAGTATTGGTACAGTATTAGCACTAAATAATTTCATGGTATTCTAACCATTAAGCATTCTAACTATTCCAATCATTAAGCAGTAGACTGTCTTTATCAAATAGAGGAGACCCACAGTTTTGTAACTGGGAAGATAATGGTGATTATCATTTCTATATTCAAACCGATTGATAACACCTTCCTTAAGCTATCAGAAGATTCTTCGCCTTCAGTTACATTTACTCTGAAATACAATCCCCACAGTCTTTGGCTTGCTCTGACTCTGCATACAGCGTTCTTTCTTTTTTAGGTTAATGATTATTGCAATTTTCTGGCAGCTTTTAGTCACTTCTAATAGCTAAACAGCCTTGATTCAAAATGATATCAGGCAAACTTGTTGACCAAAATGACCTCTGGGTTTTTATTGTTTGTATTATATGGAGCTTCCTTAAATTCTTGTGTTTAGTGACAGTCCTAATTTTAAAATGATGAAAACTTGCTACATAATAATGAGGCTGTGTAAACAGAGGCAAGTCAAACTGACCTTACAGTGGACTGTTCGCTACTGTGTTTTGCAACAGTCTTTCTAACCAAGACTATTAAAGAGATGATAGAGAGCTCTTTTTTTTAAAAAGTAATTCGCTAAGTTCTTGAAATACTGACCATTAAGAAAGATACTGCACAGCAAACTCTTCCAGATCTTTTAGCGGTAATTTCACATTCAGGGAAAATTTCAGTTATATCAAAAAAGAGAAGGATCAGACATTAAGAAATAGTACAGGAATAAAACAGAAGAGAATTTCAGAACTGTACTTGTATTTTTTTCCTAAGATCAACCCTACAGTTACACAGTTGAACTAGTCACTTCATATAATTATTTAATAACCCTCATAGATGTGGAATTTCTGTCCATATCTCCATCACTTACTGAAGATGCAATGGGCTATAAGTGGCCACTCTGAAATCAGACTTCCCCTCTGCCTCAGACGTCTTGCTGGTCTAAAAAAGTAGGGAAAATATTCTACAAAGACAAGAAATATTCTTCCAACAAATATATCAGGTTAGATATAAGGAAGAAGTTCTTCCCTGTGAGGGTGGTGAGGCACTGGAACAGGCTTCCCAAAGGAATGGCAAATGCTCCATCTCTGGCTGGATAGAGCCTTAGGTGATATGGTCCTAGCAGAGGAGTCCCTGCCTGTGGCAGGGGGTTGGAACTAGATGATCTTAGGGTCCTTTCCAACCTTAACTGTTCTATGATTCTATGATTTTAAGCTGTATCAGTTATGTAATGGACAATTAGCTCCTTTGTACACCTCCTCAGAAGATACTATTTCTTTTCCCCAGTAAAACATTAGATCACTTGTTCAGCTTAGCACTGACTCAAGAGAGAAAAAACATACCTCTGGACTGACTCATCAATTACAGTTCATGTAGGAATTTCATTTGAGGGTAGGGGAATCTGTTCATTCAAGTACCAACCCAGCATCACATTAACTAGCTTGTGAGACTTCTGCAATCACATCTTGAGACCGTATGGTTTCAATCAATTAAAATAAAAAGCAGGGGGGACACACTCAGCCTGTGTTTATATTTCACAGACAGCATCAATTTTCTAGTACCTTTAAAAGCCTATACTTAAGAAGGGCCACTTTTTATACAGTCAGAAAATGCAAGTATGACTACATTAAGACTACACTGTACACCTATTTAGACAGAAGCTTTCTCCTGTATGATTTTTTTCTGTCTTGCATTACTACTGCTCATTCACATCTTCTATTACTGCTTCTCACAACTGGTCTGCAGGCTGCCTATTTTGTGTGGTTAAAGCACTGTTTGTTTATTCTAGCTACTTAAAAAAACAAGCAAACAAAACCTTATCATCAGCAGTTTCAATATTCAGAGTATATAAAATATTTCAAATTCAATTTGGATGCTTTAGAACTTTCCATTTCATTCTATATGCAGTGATATAATTTCAAGTTCCTGCAGATGTGAAGTTTGTTACTTGCAGCATGATGCCAAGAAACTGCTATGTTCCAAACCTACTTATGAATACACGCTTGAAGGCAGCTATTGCAGAGCTTTATTTTTTTGTTGTCATTCTTTTCTACCATCCAATTCTTGTTCACCTTTGTCATAGTTCTTTAAGTCTTTCAACTAGGATTTCCTATTAGTTTGGAAACATTAAAATAGATTTTACAACAGGGTGACAGGACTGTATGAATATGGACCATGAACAAGGAAAGCAAGGAGATGAAGATGCAAAACCAGTTACTATCTGTATTTGTATGAACAGATACTTTGGAAGAAGCAGCCAGATACTTCTGCCAAGTGTAATTCCTCACATGAGTCAATGAGGCGTACCAGGCTAACCCGGCTTTAGAAGCAGGGAATTTCTTACTTCTAAAAGCTTGACAGCTGCTAAAAAAAACTACCCAAATTAATAATGAAATCAAAATAAACCACATCAACCCACTGTGTGACCACTCATTCACAATTACAGTTGGCTTAACTTGTCTTTTTTTAATTCATGTGCTTTGAATGCTTTGAAGGCTGGATAACTCTATCTGCATTTCATGTCAGCTCTTCTGAAAGAGAAGGCAGCAGTCTGCTGAAGATGTGCAACAGCATCTGTTCTGAGGAGAGCAGACACTAGGATGGCAGTAAGCCATCCCAGGTGGAACATGTTGCAATGCCTGTGCAGACACTTGGGCACTTCTGACTCCAACACTGAAGATGCAGGCACATTCAGATTTGTGGACTCCCCAGGTTTAGCTGGCTCCTGAGTTCAGGTGTTCTTTTATTTGTGTGAATTGTGAACTTGGTCAGACTTCTAAGGTATCTCCTATTCACAGACTGTTTTTTTAAGAAACCTGCCCTCATCTGTTTTACCTCACATAAACTTTTTTGTGTGTGTTAGAAAATGGGAAAAAAGTGTCTGTAAAGTTCTCTGAAGTGCTACTGTATATGTATAATACAGTATAATAGTACAGTTTGCTGCTTATTTTTTATATGTCAATTGGAGCTTGGAGTTTCTATGGGGAAGATGTAACAAAATCATGATTGCTTGCAACTGAAGATGAAGTAAAATGGGAAAGTTCCAGAAAAATTCTCAGAACATAGCAAGTTAAAAAAAATCTCTATGTCTAGTAGTTGTGATGCAACCACAACTCTATGTTAATAAAAAGGAAGATGGCCAAGAAGTCAGTGGTTTACAGGAAACCCCCCAGGCCACCAGCCTGACCTGCGCAGCCCAGCCTTGATTATCTTTATGTACTTTCCAGGATTTATTAAAGTCAGCTTGTTTTATTTCTTGGTATGATTATTCATGGCTACAAGGGCTTGTCAGGAAGGGAGGGAGGAAGGACAGATCTGCTACACAAACAGTCCAGTCTGTCTGTAGCCAGAAAGTTTTACCAGTGACGTAGGTGGTTTAGTACAACTGGTTCTATGTGGAAGTCTTAGGTTGGAACAAAAGCTGCTTTTTAGAGTTTACTCCTTTCCAAACCAACATAAAAGATGATCTTCTATGCTCTTCTAAACCTTTTCAGATAACTGGCATGCTTGGAAAACATGCTTTATGCATAAACAGAGTATGGATGAAATGCTCTGCAATGAAGATCTCTGGCCATGTTTTGACTACACAGAAAAGCTGGGTATTTCTTGGTTTTACTTGGGTAAAACCCAAGGGTATGGAAAAAAAAAAAACAACTCATACAGGCCCAACCTTTTAAATATTCCTCCTACTTTTGTGCTCCCTTCTCTCCTGTGTACATATTCCTGAGCAACTTTTCCATCCTCTCCCAAGTAATCTGGGTAGAAACACCCTCCCAGGTTCAGAGAGATGTCAGCGTGCTCCGAGCAGAGATTTCTGGGTGGGGAGGACATCTGATGACCTTTCAATTCACATGTGTAGGAACTAAAGGGTCGTTGTGCCAAAGACAAAAAAGGATCTTTTCCTCCACTGGCACTTGCCTATCTTTGAAATGAGACAAAGTGGGTTGCCTGCAGCAGCATGCACACAAAAAGAAGTGCTGAATTAATGGAAGACAGGTTAGGAAAGAAAATGAAACTGAAAAGTATAGGGTGGGCAGAAAACAGCCCTGAAGAGAAGGTCTGGGGGATACTGGTGCATGAGAAGCTTCCCATGACCCGGCTTCAGGGTGTGCTAGAGCCCAGAACCCCCCGTGTGCTGGGCTGCACCCCCAGAGCGTGAGCAGCAGCTCAGGGAGGGGATCCTGCCCCTCTGCTGTGCTCTGGGGAGAACCCCCTGCAGCCCTGATCCAGCTCAGGGGCAGTAGCACAGGAGGGACGTGGAGCTGTTGGAGAGAGGCCAGAGGAGGCCATGGAGATGCTGCGAGGGCTGGAGCAGCTCTGCTCTGGAGCCGGGCTGAGAGAGCTGGGCTGGAGCAGCCTGGAGAAGAGAAGGCTCCTGAAGGGGAGACCTGAGAGCAGCTCCAGTGCCTAAAGGGGCTGCAGGAAACCTGGAGAGGGGCTTGGGACAAGGGCCCGTAGGGACAGGCCAAGGGGAATGGCTTGAACCTGCCAGAGGGGAGACTGAGATGAGCTCTTAGGCAGAAGCTCTTCCCTGTGAGGGTGCTGAGGTGCTGGCACAGGGTGCCCAGAGAAGCTGTGGCTGCCCCATCCCTGGCAGTGTTCAAGGCCAGGTTGGACACAGGGGCTTGGAGCAAGCTGCTCTAGTGGAAGGTGTCCCTGCCCGTGGCAGGGGTTGGAGCTGGATGAGCTTTAAGGTCCCTTCCAACACAAACCACTCTGGGATTCTATGAGTACCCATTACCAGATTTAGCAGGGCAGCAGTCCGCACACCGGCCCCTTCCCGGCGTTTCTTCCCGCCCCAACTCCCCGGCGGCTCCCGCTGCCTCCCGTAGTCGGCTGGGTCGGAGGTGGACTGGGGCCACCCCGGACCCCTCACGCCTGTCCCGCCGCTGCCCCATACACCGCCTCCTCCCGCCGACCCGCTCCCGCCCGCCATGCCCGGGCTCCGCGGCAGCCGAGCCCGCTCCCGCCCTCCTTCTCCCCACAGCCGGCTGAAAGCGCCTCCCTCCCTACCCGCTCGCCGAGCGCCGGCTCCGCGCTCTCCGCCAGCCCGTTCATCTCGTGGGTCTCGCTGCCGGAGTCCATCGCGCCGCAGAGGCGGTCGGTGCGGCCCCAGCCCTCCGTTCCTGCCAGGCCCGGCTCAGCGGCCGGGAGCGAGAGCGGCCGCTGATGAGAAAGTTTCCAGCGGGGCGGCTCTGCCCCTGCTCAAACCCGCCGCCCCGGGGCCCGCCCGCCCCGCTCTCCCCCGGAGGTCCGCCCGGCGGACGCAGCACGCTGCACCCCCGGAACGCTGCACCCCCGGAACGCTGCACCCTGCGGCGGAGGATTCCGTGAGGGACCGAGACCCGGCCGGCGGCGAACCAAAGCCACCGCCCGCCCGGTGATGCAGCCGGTACCCACCGGCATGAGGAGTGGCGGAGGCTTCTGCAGCGCCGGCGGGGTCTGGGGCTGGGCGGGAGCTGGGCACAGGGGCGGGAGCTCGCGCGGCCAGCGGGTGGTCAGAGCCGTGAATTTCCAGTGTTGGGCAGGAGCCGCACTGAGGGGGCGACAGGAAAGCTGGAGAGGGGCCTGGGACAAGGGCCTGTAGGGACAGGCCAAGGGGAATGGCTTTAACCTCCAGAGGGGAGACTGAGATGAGCTCTTAGGCAGAAGCTCTTCCCTGTGAGGGTGCTGAGGCGCTGGCACAGGGTGCCCAGAGAAGCTGTGGCTGCCCCATCCCTGGCGGTGTTCAAGGCCAGGTTGGACACAGGGGCTTGGAGCAAGCTGCTCTAGTGGAAGGGGTCCCTGCCCGTGGCAGGGGTTGGAGCTGGATGAGCTTTAAGGTCCCTTCCAACACAAACCATTCTGTGGTTCTACGATCTGTGCTATTGTGGTGAGCAGGTACAGGTAATGCATCCAGATATTTCCTTACAGAAAACTTCTTCACAAAAATAAAGTTGAAGACTAGTGTTTTAAGACTTTTATCAGTGGTTACAGGCTTTCAGCTTCCTTATCCTTTTTTTTTATTCTCCCTAGACTTATTTTCCCACCTGTACCAGAGCAAAGTGCGCACATAAATACAATTAACATGCAGGTTTGATGGTGATGGAACATCAGAGGAAAACTCAGATGCATAGAAACACTACTGGCAACAAGGGCATTGAAGTAATCCTAAAGTATGGCACAAAGTAAAATAATTTAAATTTGATTTTTAAACATAGTTATTAAGGAAACCTTCCATTAGTTACATTTAACGATGTTCAGCATATAAAAAAAGATAAAAAAGATGTGTCTTATGTGATCACATGTAATCTCTTTTATGGGTGGTAATGAACTGCTCATCTGCGCTGACAATGTTCTTGAGTTCAACAAGCCTGCTCCAATGTGTGGTGTCCAACATGTGTTCCGCAGATTAACTCCTTGAGAATCTTCTGTATTAGGAATCACTTTTCTTGCTCTAAACAGTATTGAAGCATATTCTATTTACAGAATTTAAACCAACATACAGAATATAAATAAACATAAAAATATAAATAATATCAAATTCAAGGCCAGGTCGGATGGGGCTTGGAGTAACCTGCTCTACTGGAAGGTGTCTCTGCCTGTGGCAGGAGCTTGGAACTGGTTGAGTTTTAAGGTCCCTTCCAATCCAAACCAGTCTGGGATTCTATGATTCTGTGATGAATATAAATTGATTTTTTTTTTTACAAGAGGTGTGAAAGCTCTTTGATGTAGAAGCATTGCTACTGATTCCTTTAACGCCAATCAGGATTTTTACATAAGCAGCTCCTGTGCAGGGAAGCTCCAGATGTGTTGCTCAGAGCAACAGCATGTGCTGTTGGACCTACAGTCACCAACAGGCCTCTGCTGCTGAAAGGTGATCAGCACTTGACTGTCTTCACTTTGTAGCCATTGTGCTTGGGAATTGGATGTTAGGATGTTAGTCCAGTCTCACAGACACACATCTAGACCATGCCTTGTCTTCAGGGAGGGATCTGCAGTTCTCTTCAACAGGTCCTGCAGCTGGAAGAGTGAGAAGGTTACACATGAGCTCTCGGACTGCAGTGTATCCTACCAAGTTGTTGTGCCTAAAAATGCAGGCTCAGGATTAAGGACCATGACGCATCAAATAAAAATCTCTTACTGTGTACAAGGTCACTGCAGCTTTTTCCATGAAGCAGATGAGCACAGCTCTCCAACATACAATAGCTACAGAGCAGATACAAGTGTAGAATTGTGGTGACCACCTTAAAGCTGTGTGAGTCTCTGTGACTGTTTAATCCTTTGGAGTTTCTCCAGTAGGATTTGGTGGAAATTCATATTTACCTCACCATTAAACTGCACTGGCTTCCTGTAGCTGACTTTTGGGGTTCAGTTCACAGTGATTTTTGTACTAAATTAGACTGAATTGGTGACTGAATCCGTTTCTAGAGACTAGTCAAAAAACAATCAGATGTTGCTAAACACAAATTAAGCATGTTAGGCTTCCATTTTTTAATGCTAAAGGTCACATTTCACTCAGGAATGTGTTGAACTCACTAACTTTTATCTCATAAAACCTTGACACAGTATGCACTTGCAGGTTACTGTCTTCACAGGCGGCACAGGAAGTATTCATTTAATTAGACTTTCTAGGAAATCTTCATCTGAATTGAGTCCTAGCGGCTTTCTCTGCCTCTCTTTAGTACAGTGGGCTACAGAGCTTATTTAGAGAGACATGTAAAGTTTTGTTGTCACAGTCCACAGAAAAGGGAAGAAACAATGGATTATGAGATACATAAAAGATATATTTGTATCTTATGCTGATGACAGTATACAAGAAGAGGAGAAGAGTGGATGTAGGCTAAAAAAAGATCTGTTGCATTATTCTGAAGCAGTGCTATGCTGAACCTTCACCTGCAGTGTTTCCAGTTGATGGGAAGATCATATGAATTGCTCAGATGATGCTATGGCTTGCTGTGGAGGGACAGTTTTTTTGTCCAGCAGTAAGCACAGTGAGGTGACACTTGAAGCAAAGCTATAAACCACACTATGTTGTCAGCTCTTAACAAGTCCAAGGCTTGAGAAAGCATGATAATTTCCTTAGCTTTTGGGTTTATACTAGCTGAACTTCAGTAATGCACACAAATAGGGTAGCCTTTATCAGAAACATTAATTAATTTAGCAGTCATTAAATAACACTTGGTCTGTAATTGCAGCAGTGTTTGGACCCCAGGCAAAGCTGGTCAGTATCCTCTCTGGCTGCAAGTGTTCAGTGGCATTCCCAGAGATACTGCTATAGTTTTAATTGCCCCTTTTTCATTCTGTAGCTCTTTGCAAATGCATTTCAGTAAACTTGTTTGGCAGTTGTAAAGGTTTGATTTGCTCTAGTGAAAATTTTCTACCCTTAACCCTAAAAATTATGGAAGATCTGCTTTCTATAGGTGACATTTAGGAGTGATAGTGCTGAGTTATTCCTTCTCTCTTCTAAGCCACATTTGTACCGCACAGTCACATGCCAAAGAGGTCTGTGGGAATAGGATGTATTATTAGTCTTGTGGGAAACGTGTAATTTCAGTGGAACTGAAAAAAGAACTAAGTCTAAGCTTGCAAAATGGCCAACGGCTATTAACAATAAATTTTCCTGTTATCCAGCCTTTGAGTTCTGCTGGTTGAATCTGGGGAAAAAAAAAAAAAGAGTATATTTTGTGCTTATGAAAAGGACCCTGCACTCTGTGTAGGAAAATAGGTGCAGACTCAAGCTGGTGGTAAGAGAGGTAATAGATTGGTGATGTCAGTCTGCAGCCATATAATGAAGCAGCAAGACAATACTATGTGGTAGGTCATGCTTGTTTGTGTGTGAATTTGAGCATAGTCATTATAAAATGAGAACTCTGCAAGTGGTATCACATGAGTCTGAGTCAGGATTTGTGGTTAGTGTTATGCAGAGCAGATATTGAGGAGTGCAGAGAGGGTCCTTGGGACCACTGTCAGAACAACCACTGAAACCTGTGTGGAAATACTCAAGACAAAAAAGATCCAATGCGTGGCATCTTTGCATTTTAGCCATGAAATGAATTTGCAGTCTCGTTTGGTTTTGGAGAGGGATTTTTCTATTTTCTTTTCCTTTCTTTTTAAATCTAGGGATTCATTTTCTCTGAGTGAGTACTGTTCATGTGGCCACAGAGACAATCTGAAGAAGCCCAGATTAAAAGGTACGTGTTACTACCTGGTATTTGTGGTCTCTATAAAAACAAGTCATTATGCAAACTGGTACTTGCGAACTAGAGCACAAGGTTAAGTAAATGAAATGGCAGTTGGTATAATCTCTCTTTGGAAAAACAGATCACTCATTCAAAAATGTAGAAGAAAAGAAGAATCTATCGTAAGATATGTGTAGCTTGATTGGGGAAGAGGTGAACGTGTGTTGTGTCATTGAAACTACTTGGAGTTAAAACACATTATTTTCTGCTGTTTCTTCCTTTTTTGGTTTCCTGTTATTCCCACAATCCTTGCACTATATTCTGCAGAAAATCATGGTGGTTTGGAAATTATTGTAAAGATAAATACTTAATTTAGGCAGTTCTTGCTCCAAATTCCTGGTTGATTTTAATGAAAATAACATTTAAAAACCAGCTAGATGTTGGTATCTAATATATACTTAATTCAAAAATCCTGGTAAGTCTGAACTGTAGTAATGAAACTGACCTTTTTTTCCCTTGTACTTTCACCTGAATTATGCATTTAGTTGTTTTCTTGTGGTCTCTTGTCATAATTTCCTGCCTGGTTCTTGCTTTTTGTCTTTATGTGAACTGCTTGGGAGCTGGGAGAAGACAGACAAAAAGGAGTTTCCATGATGGTCTCTATGAATGACAAGGTGTGCTACAGTAGAAAGACATTCTCCACTTTAGGGCAAGAGACCTGTCCCACTTTCTCTTTTCAAAGAAAAATCGGATGGTAAAAACCCCAAAGTATGTATTTGGAGAAAAAGCAAATGAGTTTTGAAATGTAGCCTAGCAATACAATTGCAGAATTTCCTGCATCTTCCATTCATCTCTCTAAAATCAGTCTGCTTCATGTGCTTTTGTCTGCTACTTCCCAGCAAGGCCATCTGTTTAAAATAACTCCATAATGCGTACGAAAATGGTGCTTA